CAAGACTTGCCCCTAGAGTCCCTTGTTCCTGCACATACGGGCGGTGAGCTACATGATCCCTAGAGTCTTGAGTAGCTCTTTCCTGCAGATGTACCACGGGATTCTGGGCAGGCTCTGCTGGAAAGGGCGAGTGAATGAAAGCGCCTGGAAGGGTATATTAAATTAGCAAATGGTGATCAGGTAGTTTTCATGGGGAAAGGGGACATTGTTTACCAGAATTCATGGCTTAAAGAAGAATAGGTTTATTTGACTTTATATTCAGTTTCCAGATCTTCATACACTACCTGCGGCCGCCCTTGGAGGTCCCTCCAGTGTTCTGGTTTCATTAAAACAGATAAACTGGCCTGTGTCTCAGCCCTCTCTGGCTGTAAACTGCAGGTTGTTAGGCTTCTAAAGCTTGGTTTGGTTTGCACTTGGTAGATTTGGGAGAACATTTTGGGCTAAACAATCCATGGATTGATTTGGCAATTTGTCATTACTGCTTTTTCATTTTTCAAAAGATTTGCTTATGCTTACAAAACAGGTACAGGTCAGAGGTGCAGGGTTGTTGAGAATTCACCAGAGACAGTGGGGAGCCAGAACAGGCTAGTGGAGGGAGTGCAGGGTACACTGGTGAGGGGAGCAGCAGGCCAGACAGGAGAGGTCTGCTGTGCCATGTGGGTCAGCCCCCTCGCCGGGGATCAGGGGATCAAACTTTGGCTGAAGCAGCTGCAGCTGGCTTAGTGGTGCTGTGCTTTAACCCGCTGTGCCAGCAGGGAGGGCCCACTGCTTCTTAAAAAGGTTTTATTTTTGCATAGAGAACGGGTGTAGGCCGAAGATTGAGGGTGAGAGGGTTTGCCAGAGTGAGGAGCAGAACAGGCAGATCTACTGAAATACACGGCTGGGGTCAGCAGCGCCATGTAGGTCACTCCCTGGGGGGGGGGTGAACTCGGGCCATTACATTGGTGCCATTGTAGTTGGTGGCACTAGCTTAACATTGACGCCACCAGGGAGGCCACTCGTTAGTGTTTATATCATTTGCTTTCAGGGTTCCATTTATTTGGTCCCAGAAACGACTTTTCTGCCTTTTCGGTTAGGTTTTGTTACAAATCCTTTTTGACTAGTAAACGATACATTCCTGAAGGCCAGTCCTTTAGCAGACAAGCCTAGCTATTCCACTGTTGAAACTAAATTTATTTTGCAGTGTTTCACTGGTGTGTGTGTATGTGTGTGTGTTTTTTTTTAAAAAGATATATGCATACAAGAACTGGGGTACAGGCCAGAGGTGCAGGGGGTAAGAGGATTCATCAGAGAGAAGAGTGGGAGCAGACTAGGCAGGTGGACTGAAATACAGGGCTGAGAGCAGCAGGCCACACAGGAGAGGTCTGCGCCAGGGGATAACTTCTAGAGCTGTGCTTTAACCCCTTGTGCCACCAGGGAGAGCCCTCTTCTACCCTTTTCCATGTGGATTTCCTGCATTCCTGAGGGGAAGGTAAATTCCAACTTGACCAGTTGGTGTCTTTTCAGATATATCAAGGAAAAGAGTTTTTTTTTTTTTTTATAAAGATGTATTTAATGCATACAATGTATTTTATGCATACAAGAACTAGGGCACAGGCCAGAAGCAGGGGTGAGAGGATTCCCCTAGAGACGGAGGGTGCAGAACAGGTGGATCTACTGAAATACACAGCCGATTGTGGAGACAGGAGAGGTCTGCTGTGCCATAATGGTCACCTCCCTGGCCAGGGATTGAACTCACGGTGCAGTGGCTACCCATAGCTTGAGATTGCCACCAGGGAGGCCACAAGGAAAACAGGTTTAAATGTTTGTCCAGTGTAGAGAAGGAAAAAGTAAAGTACACATTCCCATCCAGGTTCCTACTGGGTAGATGGTTGACACAGTAGTAGCTGGAGACTGGAACACTATTTTCTGTTGAGGAACTTGGATTTCAGTCTGGTGCCTTCGCATGAGAAGGCCATCCATCAGCCCAGGACGTGGGTTCCCTGTATGTTTGCCCTGCTTGGGGTTCAGTAGAAAAGGTGGGTCCATTCTACTGCTGCTGAACCTCTTTCCCTTCATGATGCTCGAGGCAGTGACACTTCACAAGCAAACCTGAAAAGCTCTTATGACTTCTTCCACATACTTTGTTTTGTTCTTTTGGCTGTGGGAATGAATAATGATCCTCACCATAAAGACAGACCCTTCAGAAAGAGGCAACTTTGGCTCATTTTCCCCCTCAAACCTTTGACCTACAGTCAGAAACTTATTTGCTCCTAAATTAGTTAACATTCAGCTTATGGCAACTTGAGGACCCCCCCCCCCGAAACATCCTGCGCTATGCCAGCAGCATGCTTTTAATGTCCAGCCTCCTGAGCCGCTGTCACTAGTCACCTCTGATGATGAAGTCTAGTTTGTCCCCAATGAACCAAGTTGTCTCGGCAAGTGCTGACGCCTCGTGGTTGGTTTCCTGTCTCAGGATACCTCAGAACTGTCCAGGGCTGCCAATGTCACGTTAGTGCATTGTGGGGAAGGTGATCAGAGCAAAGGGCTGTGGTTTCCTTCAGGGCAGCTGTGGAGAGTGCCCACCCAAGGCAGCGCTGACGCCACCTCCCACATGTGACCATACTGCCCCTAGGAGGAGGCACCTTCCAGGGAAGTCCTGCCACAAAGCTCTGGTCATGCAGGGTGCCAGGAAGTGGCTGAGGAGCCCTGAAGCAGG